ACGGATGCTGTGGGCATATAATAAGCACAAGTAATATTTACATATAAAACAGTTACTTTGTTATAATAACATTTGTAAATGCATATGAGTGTTTGTATATAAACGCATTATGGATTCGAGCACACACACACTACATATATAAGAAATTTTCCTGTCCGATGTTCTTGAAATCGAAAATCTTATTAGTCTCAACAATCTGATATGTTAGGCAAATTTAGAAAAACTGCATATAGTATGTAGGGTAGAGCGGGGCTAGTTGAGCATAGGGGCAAGTTGAGCAATCGAAATATCTCGAAAACTATTCACCGTCCGTTTAAGCATTATATGGCGGAAAGACAGAGGTTTGGGAGAAATAAACATCCCGCGATCGCTAGTGGCCGCTGGACAGATGAGTGAGGCTCACGGGCGTTTTGTTTATTTTGAGACCAAAAAGTAAAAAGTAATTCATCGCGAGTTTTTGTCTGGTTTAGTCAAATGTTATTCATTTTTAATCAGGTAAATGTTATTCTTCCATGCATTTATAGTACTTTTAATAGGCACAGAGATTCTGGGTAAACTCTCACGGTATTTTTATAAACTCACTTTTATTGAAATTCCGAGTTGGGGTTAGTTGAGCATAGTTGCTAAACTTGTTCTGTCACTAAGCAAAAACCATTAACTTCCGGAAATTAATTATAATTTTTAGATTTAAGCTAAGTCTTTGAGTAATAATATAAAGAAATAATGATTTCAATCAAAAATACTGAATATAATGGTAAAATAATTCCTAAGATACGATATTGTTTTGTTGATTCTACTTTTGGTTAATTATTCAAAGAAAATTACTATAAGTTTTGTTTTCTCTGTCAATAAAGACTATAAATATAGAACTGGTTATTCAAAACTTATTTTATTTCATCACTAATCGACATTGAACCTATGATTTCATTATACTTTCTTAGTGCTCAACTTGCCCCACCTATGGGGTACATTGAGCATACTTGACTTTTTGCATTTAGGCAGATGTAGCTTTTTAATTTTACTTATTACCAAAAAATGGTATTAACACTTTTGTTAAGCGATAAACAACAAATCCATTAAGCCGTATAGCAATTTATTGAGACTTTTCATTGAGGAGCTACATCCGTTTAAGTAAAATTTGCTCAACTAGCCCCGCCCTACCCTACGTATGGATTTGCCGCAGTTTGAAGAAACATCAGATTAAGATGATTAAAATAAATCTATTATTGTATTTTCTGATTGTAATAATAAAGTAAGATGATTAATGATAAGTTTGCTATGAACATTTTAACAAAATGTATACAATTTTAACAATTTCGTATAAAGAGTTAACTTTTTAATAAAAAAATAGCACATTCTGGAACGACAATAACACGGATTCAAAATAATTATAAGTCTGCCAAATATAATTATAAACAAATAGATCTGTAGTTTCAAAATAGCATAAACAGTGAAATTGTTCAAATAAACTTTTTATAAGTATACCTAATACATTGTGTCTGACCAAACACCATTTTATAGAAATTCAATTTCAAAAATAAATAGTTGTAGGTGTTTGCAAATAATTTTATTCTAAAATATCTTGAGATACTGCCTATTAATTAGCGTAACAGTATGTATAATTACAACATGTAAATTGGTAATTTCTTTGAAAACAGGACCAATCTTGAAAAGTTTAGATCGCTGCCAACAAGAAATATTGGGGCTAATTTCGGGCAAAAAGCCGTTCTTTTTTAACAGGTCGCTCCTGTTTTACACTCCAATACCGATAGTGTCGTAATCGAGTCGTAACTCCTGATCTTCACTGGAATCCTGCTTGAGGTATCATCTAATGGCCCAAAATTAGTAGTTAGCGTTTGGTCAGAGTCCTTAGGGAGGTATTGGCTGGAATACTAATGCCTTGTAGTTCTTCTTGTGTAAATGAAAGATTGAGTTTAGTTGACTAATCACTTTACTAACAATTCTAAACTACAACCGACATTAGTTTCACGTAACAGCAATTCTACCAACTCTGGCAGCTCTAACAACTCTGACTTACTGGTAATGTTTCGGCAATATATGTGGTTTCAGAAGAGAAACATGTTTTCGGAAGTAATAAAGTGAAGCAAGGTCTTGTCTTCCTCATAATTATGGCGTAATATGTGTTATTACGGAACAATGCATATGATAAATTGTCGTGTTTGTTTGCAAAATAGCCGGTTAAAGCACTGCTGCCTGCATTCATCAAAAACAAAAATGAGAATTGAATGTTTCAAACAAATCGAATATTTTTTTGATCAATCAAATCAGTTAATAACCTCTTCCAAAAATGTAGATAAAAATTGCATCTAAGTATACATGTACATGCACACTACACACGCATGCAATGATCAAAATATCTGGAAATGTGCAAATTATTTCCGAACTTTTTGCAATTTAAGTAACTTTGCGGAAAGTGATATATTGTACATTATTAATTCTTCAGCAGCTTAACAAACCTGTAACATCTGTTTACTTACGAGTTAGAAGTATAGGTGAGACATAGTGAGCATCGCATTCAAGAAACTTTCATATAACAGTGATGAGAGTATAATGCACTTCTATTATACTACACGTGCTCGCGCTAAATAAGTTCAGGTGTTAAAAATCTAAGTGTGTCAAAGATGCATGACCCAATTCAAATTCAAAAAACGCATTCGACTATAAAACTTGACATAATAAAACTCTTTAGAACGTTCCAATTTTTTTACGATGACACGAACACATTTATGGTATTATTTTCTACATCCGACTTAACTTTCTATGATTGAGACTATTCGTTAAAATTTAAACTTTGGAATGCAATACTACACATCTGGTTTCCAAGGTAATAAACAGATTGACATTGAATTAATTACCCCATTTATATTATTCAACATGGTATAAGAGTTATGAAAATTATACATAAGTGATGCATTTTAGCAAAATGCTTTACGCATCAGAATTGTGTTTCAATATTCAATATATAAGTATATAGAACTCGAGGCATAGTCTTACTACTCAAGAAGATAGTAGGTACTACTACTACTTCAAATCCTTGCCAAAAATGAAAAAATGACATGTGCACACAAATCCTTTAATTTTATAATATTCGAAATTCATTTAACTTACTTTGGGTTCTAACACATCATTAACAGTTAATAACGGTAACAATTTACTCCTATATTTCGCAGATTTTGAACTTAGCTTAATTTATTGCAAAAACTAGTAAATCTAAAAAAATATCTATAATTTAATCTTCCCAAATCAGTTAGTTATTTTGTGGTAAAAAAAAATTTTTTTTTTTTTTTAGTTTTAATATTTAAGTTTCCAAAATTATTCAACATTTTCTTAAAATTCAACATAAAAAACCATTATATAAAAAAATCAAAGCATAAATCAATTATTTTCTGCATGCACTTGCATGTGCATGTAATCAAAGGCATTTCAATGTAACGGGAAATCAAAAGCTACAAATCATCAATATAAATATTGTCATTTGCGAACGAATGTCAAAAAGGCGTCGTCACTGCTGTAAATCAATCAAAATCACTAAATTACTTGTAATGAATCAAAATCACAGCTTTGTGATAAACTGCACGTAGTAATGACTTATCACATCTTAATCAATTTTACATTAAAGATCCAAACAGAATGCTATGACATGCTGATAAGGATATCATTCTGTTTTAAAGTTGTTAAATTGTTTGAGATTCTTTGTAATCAAAGATTCACTCATTATCTTCATTGGGCAATCTATCCCAAGTTCAAGTTCAATAGTCATGACAATCTGGCAAATCATTTGAAAATTAACACGTTCAGGGACGTGGATGCTATGACATTCATATACAATGTGATACAGAATTAAAATGTTTAAACTCAATTATTTTGAATTTAATTTTATATAACCTTACGTTTTGTAATTATTATACCTGTCGAGGTATAATTAACTGATTCTTTGAGTATTTTCGTATTATCTTAGATTTTCCCGTAGTCATAAATTCGCTGTAGTCATTGAGCAAGCACATTGCGTAGTTGAAGCGTAATACTTGACGTGGATACCATAACATTCATCGTGTAACGATGAACAAAATATGATAATCTGACTACCTTTATAAACGGTGTTTGATCAAATTTCGGATGTCACAACCAATTTAAAAATAAAATGACTGTCAATCTTTGTACCTTGCTGAAACTTTTACTGATCGTGAACGCCTTGAAGAAAAAATAAGAAAATGTCTGATCAAAATCTTATATATATAGTCAGAAATATGCTCCATAATCCCTTCTGATCACCAAATATCAGCAGTTTTTTTCATCATTTTTCAGAACTTACTGAAATTGCATCACTGACGAAACTAGTCAAGTAACACAATTAATTTTTATTCGACCATTCATGATGATGTTAGTTATTAAGTACCTAAGGCTTGATTTAATAAATAAATAATATTTTAAATATATTAACAGATTTTATACATTTATAAAAAAATCACCATTTTCGGAAAACTCAAATTATCCAAATAAAGTTTTGAAATAGATAAGATTTTATTTATTAATTTTTTTTTCGAATCATTTAACCCTAGAATGGTATCTGCACGCCTCCGAGGCATATATGCAGACAAGAATGAATGGTGGTGGTACTTTTGTTATTAAAATTTTGAAAAAATAAAAAAACTATTTGTTACTAAACTAGAGTTTTATATTTAATGATATCACAAGATAGATTTGATGATATCACAAAGTATACCATTACAAAAGACGAAAAAATCACTTCTTAAGCACAATACCATTCTAGGGTTAATGGATTTTATGTTAACTAACTCTATTTATATAATAATTATTTATTAAATAAAAAGTTTCAAAAATTTTAATTAAGACAAACATTTATAGAAATCAATTTCAACACTCAGTAGCACTATTTTCGGAAATATACATATTGAAGCAATAAGTTAAGTATATCCAACATTTAGGCGGGCTTTAGCATGGTTGTAGTTATCTAGTAATTAGGTACTTACTTGAATGCCGAATAGACCCATGGTTACGCATCCAAGCCAACTGTGCAGACTGTAGAAGTTCGGTAATGGTGGCGTGGCCAGGTTATGGGAGTCCAGGACAGCCAAGAAGCCCACGACTACGCAAGGAATGGCCAGGGCATGGAACACGGTGTGCAGAAGTTTCACGTAGATACGTCGGCAGCAACGACACACCCTGTAGAGCAAGATTGCTGAAAAATAATATACACATTATTAATTTCACATCGACAATAAGCACAATTTAGTACAAGTGCTGAAACTTGTCGAATCAAAAATATTATAGAGATTTGCCAATTAGGTGTTATAGAGTCATTAGACCCTAAAAATTTCAATCACAATTTAGCTGTAAATAAATAACTAATTGTCATCTATTTCTATTTTGTCAATTTATCTATCAACTAATTATAAGTATTTTTATTCCATGAGCAAATCTTGATCATTAACAATATAAGATAATTATTGCATATGTATATTTCGAGATACTACATACGTATTTTGTCAAGGAAAAAAACATTTGAAAAACTGAAACGTTTTAGTTGCAAATGAGTAATGTGCTGCGCCAATTAGTGCTTCAAAATTAAGATTTTAGTATGAAAATGAAATAGCTATTATAATCAGAGGCAAAACGGCAATGATATAAAAATGAAATTGAAATAGAATAGGGCGGGGCTCAAAGGTTTGAATTTGACTTTGAGTAATTATAATGTGAAAACCAAACCAATTATATCATAAGAAATAACACATATCAAACAAACAAATATCTGACTGTGTTCAGTAAAACCCAGCTACTTCATCATTGTAGAAATGTGTGTTTTTAAAGTTTTTCAAAAATTTGTCACCTGGTCCGTTTTACCCCATAGGCGCGTATAATAAGACGGCCATGGGGCAAACAGATCCAATGTCTTATTTTTAATTTTAAAGGGATTTTACGAACTAATGGCTAAAATAATCGACCAATGCAATAAATAATAATTTCATGGGTACATTTGTATGTACAACACTGTATATAACCTTGATCTGATATTTCGTCAAAAATAATCGTCAGCAGAGTTGAAATAACTAGTTAATTTATCTTTTGCAGAATTGTTATTTTTTAACTCGATTTATTTTTATATTTACTATTTTTTATTGTTTACACCTTTGCCAGGGTAGAGGTTAAGATGGTCCATTTTACCCCACCCACGTATATGATTTTATAGAGGTTATATAAAAAACAGTTGAATCTAATTTAAAATTAACTAAACATCTTATAAAACAACTAAATGACGTACACTTAAAAGTTATATATTAAGGTCTCGTAAACTAAACAACAGTGCTCACAACCGAAAAAACTAACAACGAAAAAACTTTTGTTATGGATTTCCGTTTATCGTAATGGATTTTCTAACATTGCCATTTATCTCTCGACTTTCCCTCTACTTTCAAATATTGTTGCTAAAATATTCCTAATTTTACTAGTTTTTGAGATAACGGTAGTAGACCTTTTCACCCGTGTACCTTTAAGCACCACTCTACCTTGTAACTACAATAGATGAACATTATAAAATGATTAGAAAAAAATAAATCATTGTTCATTTTGCATTAAAAATGTAATAATGAAATATCCAGCAACCACAAAAATATAAAAAAGTAATAAATAATAATGCTAAACGACTAGTGTAATTACAGATATTATTGAAAGAAGTTCAAATTATTCAAATTCTCAGTTCGATGAAGAGTCAAACTGAATTTTTAGTACAAAATTGGAACAGTATTAGTGGTATTAGTATCTAATAAAAATCGCTTATATGAGTAGATACATAAGATAGATTTCATGGTCGTTTTATGATTCGTACCGCGTACGAATGATCCCGCGATGCTTGGAAATGCAGTACCTACATATTACCGTTATCACTAATAAACCACGAAACCACATCGACTTAGCTCACGGGGAAAGTATCAGGCGCATACCGATGAGTGAGATTCAGCAGATATCAGTATTGCCCAGATTTCGCTGCCAAGAGTGTTTTCTCAACAAACGATACATATTCTAATGGAAAAGAATATGTTTAGTAGCGACGTGAAGCATCAGTCAACCGACTGTCAATGACAGTTTTTCACAATCCTGGTCTATTGCAATTAATATCCTAAGCAACCAACTCGAGTCCTCTAAAACTGCCAAAAGCTAATTGGTATATATAGCCAAAAGTTTATTTTATAGCTTGATAATTCAAATATATAACTAGTGGTACATGGCATCGTGCCTTAAGGCAAATTGCTGAAACTTCCCGTACCAGAATTAAATATTCGAGGGAAAAAACAGTATTAAATAAATATTGATCGATTATCAATAACAATTGTTTTAAACATTTTCAAATAGATAATTATAATCACTATATATTTTATCGTTCATAAAATATACCGTGACGATCTTATCGCTCAAAACACTTAAGAAAGTTTACATTAGCAAAAGGTGCCGAATGAATCCATCTGAGGATATATTTCTTACGATTAGAATAACGCATTTGAAATATAACATTTTCAAACTAAAATGTGAATTTAAAATTCATATTTGAAGCATAAAACTTTGTATATTTTTGAAAATGGAAACGAAAAAAAAAATTTCTGAAAATTTTCGAAATTTGCTTGAACAAGTAAACTTTAAAAATTAACAATCTTGGTAAGGTTCCCAACAAAATTGATACAAAATAAGCACTTTAAAAAAAATTGATTAAATATCTGATGATTTGATGTGCATATGTCTAATGATCGTTTTTGACCGCCAAATATCATTTTTTTTAGGTTTTCCTCTGTATCTTCGAAACGGCTGGGACTGTCTCCAACAAAAACTAATCAACAGGTCTTCTCGTCAGTAGGAATCGAATGTTTTTTGAATCATTCAAATCGATTGATTCGTGCACCCGAAATGTGGACGAAAAATTGTATCCAAACACACACACACACACACATACGTACACCCATTTTTGCTAAGGTATGCCAACATGTTCAAAAACCTTCAAAACGTGAAGTTATGCAAAAAATTTCATTTTCGATTTTTTGCGATTACTATAACTTATTCTACGGAAAGTTAATAATAGATTTAGTAAATATTTTACTGATTAGAATTGTGAATCATGAATATGACAGGCCGTTAAGGACATCGAAAAGCTTGTTATTATTTTCACAATACTTACAATTACAATACTTAATACAATATTATCAAAATATACATTGAAAGTTTTTTATGGCTGACAATTAGTAAATGTTGAAGTATTAATATATATAGAAATTCGATACCAATAACTTGATGAATGAGGATCACAGCAAAAAACATTACTTAGGGGCCATTCTTGAATAAAATAAAAATGTTAGGGTAAAGCTATGTTACGCGTCTCTATAATCGTATGAGTAGGTACTCACAAAGTGCCAAAAAACTTTGTCTTTGCTGTGCAATCAGACGTATAACACATAAAACGTATGTGCTATCAAAGAGACAACAGAAAGTTGTACTTATGATAATATTGTTATCTGACAATTATGTGTTTCGGAGGTTAGGTTTCATAAGTATGTAAAACGCCTGATCGCACAGCAAGTACTACATAGCTATTTGACAGCTCGTGAGTATCAATTGGTCCCTAAGTCTATCTTTCAATCCATAAAATAACACGTTTCTTTAATGTAAGGGCAAACACATTCGATTTGAAAAATTGTGCATGTTATAGCTATACATATATACATATACATATCTCCGTAAAGTTGTTTTTTCAATTTTAAATGGAAGTGTTAACTATTGAAGTAGAATATACTAAAGTATGTTGAAAATTTCGTAATACTAATATATTGCTTCTAAACGCTTTCTTTTGCAAATATTGTTTATTTTTTTAACAGAATAAGTAATCTATATGCAGTAACAGGCAAAGGTAATCGTATATGAAGAAGAGAAAGGGAATTCGTACTGCCGGAGGTAAATTGTTCCCAAGCTGCTCCACCTATACAAGAACTATGTATGAGAAGCAACGGTATCTTTTGCAAACTATTGATGCCGGAGAAAAGTTTTAAATTGTTAGAATTTTCATATATTCCTCAGTCGTTTATATGTATTTGTCAAAATCATTACTGTGGCATATATTGAAGTTAGTTGTGAATCGGTTTAAGTATCCAAATTGTTAAAAGATTTTCTAACGAAATCAGAAATATGGTTTATGAAATACTAAATTAAATTAATTAAAGATTAGTGGAAATATACTCATATTTCAAGCATATAAAAGTCAATAACTATATTTACTAGAACTTGAGACAAAGACTTCAAAAAGTATCAAACCTGTTTTTGATTTGAATAATTTTATACAAATTTTACTACATATTATAACATCATTATTGAAGAATACCTTCATTTGTAAGAAACACTAAAGATCAATATCACAAAATGTAAAAAGGTTTCATGGCAAAGTGTTAAAACTCTTCACAAAATGCTATCGCTTTTAAAATGTTCATAGTTCTATACGATTCTGTAATGTTTCTTCAATCTTTTATTACGCTACTCTAACTTAATTTTATTATCAACTTAACAACTTGGCTTAAATTTCATTACGCCATCTCTTATTGTGGTACCGAAAAACAATAATAAAGATACATACAGATAAAGTACAATTGAATTTCTAAAATGTGACCCAATTGAACGTCCTATCATTAAATATTTTCCTGTAGAACAAATTATTTTAATTGTTTTATTGTCATCACGTTTTGAAACTTCTGATTATCTTGCTCTAACTTACCATTAGAAAAATTGATGTATTTTCATAATATAGAAAGTTTTAGCACAATCACTTCAATTAAATCAATTTATCTCTTAATGACCTTTATCGGAGTAAAATCATGAAACTGTGTGCAAAACAAAAAAAAACTATTTCAATTATAAGACATTGAGCAGATTGAGAGAATTTACAAACAAATCTCGAACAAATAAATACACGCAAATATGTTTCCTATAAAATGAACCGGTTGAATAGTAACAGAAAAAGCAGAGCAAAGGAGCAATAATCAACGAAACTGAAATTCGTTTATTTTAGTAAACACACGTTACTACACATACTACATCTAGGAATAGATTTAATGTTATAGTTCAGTATTTGATATATCTTGTGTTCTTATTGTATCCAATGACTATTATCATTTTGTGAGGAACTGAGAGAAAATAGAGTAATGATCGGTCGCTAAAAGAAATGAAATAATGAAGAACAAATATGATATCGAATCATTGTTGGAAGTTTATGTATACATTTAAGTTTACAATCGTGCAGTAGTAAACTGTTATTGTTCTCAGGATATAAACACAAATCTCATTTATCCAAGGCTCGTGTTTATTTAAAATGTGATTTTACACGAACAGCCACAACATTGGCAAAAACTTACATACACAAGTTAAAGACAACGTCCAATACGGCGGTTGTATGTTGTAAAGTGACTGATTAGGTTTACTGTAGATATATATATATACACCTAAGTCTGTTTTTACACGGTCTTTTTGTACACGGTTTGATATAACACTGTTTGAAAATTGAATATTTTTTTACACGATTTTATTCCATTTAGCACGATTTGAAATTTTATGTACTTAAATTTCTTTGTCAAATTTAATTTTTGCGAAGTATGTTCATATCACAAAAAAGTACTTACGAAAGAAAAAAGTCTGAAACCATCGATAGTATCGATAGTTTGCGAACACTAGCTTAAAGATTTAAGTGAATTTCCCTTTAGCGCATACAAACAATTTTTACTGATCAAAGCAAATGTGAATAGCACTTTTAGGGGAATTATTATTAAAACAAACATGAATTCTTGTTCTTGAAATTTCTTGTTTTTCACTAATTTTAATAGGTTTTAGAGAGTAGGAACAAATCACCCATTTTTGTATAAGATCAATGTCTTTTTTTACACGTTTTTTTTTACACGGCTTCTTCTGGAACCAATCTCCGTGTAAAAACAGACTTAGGTGTGTATATATATATATATATACATGTATATATATATATATATATACATGTATATATAAAATGCATTTGCCTTCGAGTAAGTTGCGTGAATTTCCCAATGTTGAAAATAATAGAGTTGATTCAGCAGCTTAAATTGAGATCCAGCGAAGATCGGATGATTTCTATTCGAATCTAATCAAAATGCGAATAGTCTTTGGATAGAAACATAATTGGATGAAAAGCCAAGAAATGTTTGCCAATTTAATGATATTTACTCAAACAGATTTAGACATTTAATTATTATTTATTTAGAGAATAAAAATTTAAATGTTTATAACAAAAAAAAATCTTAATTTTGCAAACCTAATAAAATCTTAATTTTGCAAACCTAATAAAATTTATCTTAACTTTCTTTATTTCGAAAGATATGTGACCGCTTTTTCAAATATCTTTGGTGAATGCGCAAAAGAATTTACCTTTATCTTGTAATTAAAAAGTTTTAATTTGTGCAGGATTTTATGCAAAAGTTTCTCATAATTACGAAGAAATCAACTATTATCAGAAACATCAACACAATTTTTACCAGATATTTTTTAAATAAACTTTAAATTTATTATTAAATTATATATATTAAGTAGAAAAAAACGGGTCAGCCAATGTTGATAAAAATTTCAAAATATTACAAACATACTTTTAATAATAAATTACAAAAACCGACCTCACAAACCTTCAGCAAAAATAAGTCATCACGATTCTCAATAGAAATCCATTAATTGAGCTTTTTAAATTTTAAAAGTAAGTTTAGAACTTTCTGCAAAAACTATGATTAGAAATTTTTATTATCTGTCAATTACAGAGAAAGAGCTGAACAGTTCATAACGTTTTTAAACTTATTGCTAGTACCTATTTGGTACACCCATTTTTAAGAAACATAGACAAAGTGCAAAATTTGCATCCAAGTATACAAAGACCCACTTTTCCGAGAATAATTGGACCAAGTAAATTTGGATCAAGTAAACATAAAGTTACAGATTTTCATATACGGACGAACTAGTGGTGCATGGCATCGTGTCTTAAATAAAATCGTGCCTTAAAGCTAATTGCTCGAACTACCCGTATGGTAATAATTTTTTTTTTTTTAAAAAAAAGCTTTCAAATTTTTTGAAAAATTAAAAAAAGATTTTTGAAAATTTTGAAATTTAAAAAAATGACTGAATGATGAATGATGAATGAAATGAAAAAATTGTTTTTTTTCACTTTAATTTTTTTTTTTGAAAACTTTTTAACTTTTTGTAGGGTAAGTTATAGTAACAAAAAAAATCGAAAATGAAAATTTTTATATAATTTTGCATTTCGAAGGTTTCTAAACATTTTGGCAAACCTTAGAAAAATTAGATGAACGTGTGTGTGTGCGGACACAAATTATCGTCAACGATATCGAAAATACAGATGAACCGATTTAAATAATTCTAAAAACATTCGATTCGTATTAATGGGTAGACGTGCTGATTAGTTTTTGGCAAAAACAGGTCCAACCGTTTCGAAGATACAAGGAAAGAAATCTAAAAATGATAATTCAGTTTTTGAGAGAACGGATCGTCCGACTTGAATGATTCGAACAACATTTTATTTGTATTGACAAAACAAAGAACCGATCAAACTTTTGGGATGGCACGTCCAGCGGTTTTGGAGATGCAATAAAAACTAGTTAGTATTGGTATTTAGCCTTGAGGTAAGTTACATGAACCTCCCGATATGTGTAAATTATCGACTTAATCAATAAAAAATAAATTAATTTATGAGTGGATTTATTACACATAATTGAAAACGAACGAAAGAGTATTTTCAAAAAGCAACTTTTCAAGAATCAACAATTATTATATTTGAACCAGTTTCCGTAGAATTTTAATGGTTTAGTATGTTTATTAAGACCAAGTACTATATTGTTATACCGAGTAAATCGTCTAATTTTAATTTTAGCTAACGTCAAAAAAACTACTCATTTTCTCAAATTTTGATGAATTTTTAAAATTAAACTACTTGTCGTAAGGCCGTAATATTACAGTAAGTTCTATAAGACCATTATATATATCGCCGTTGGACAATCAAAAATAATTGTTAAACATATGCGCATCAAATTGTCAGATATTTTATAGAGATTTTAATAATAAGAACTTTATTTATATTTCTATGGGTTCCACACCAATGTTAGTCGATTAGATTATTACGCGGCGCTTACGTCTCTAAAAGAGCTTCACAGCGATCATTTTCGATTTTTTTGCAATGATTATAGCGCACCCCACGAGACGTTAAAAATTACCGAATCAAGTATGATTGATGTCATTTCTAGCCCACGATATAGAAATCCCCGTCCAGCAATGAGTTCGCGCATTCAGTGCGTCATAAGCTCGCGTGTGAATATGTTAATCCGACGTTAATTGAGTAGTAATAAATAAATATCACGAATGCTTACAGAATCCGCTGAAGGTGATGAATCCGGCGACCATGAGAACCGGATGTAGATTGAACTGTTTCTTGGGGTCTTCGGTCCATGCAAACCCATCGCGGTAGTAGAGCACCCAGAAGAGCGTCAGTGCTAACGAACCGACCAGGAGCACGCTGGACAGGACGGTCACCATTGTGTATTCGAACCAATTGCCGCAACCCCAAGCGCCTTCGTCTTCCTCGTAATGACTACGCCTGCAAACAAGATCAATACATTGAATAGGCTGACATCATATAAATTGAATCAAGGAGCATCTTCACGTCAGGCGCACGTCATGTACCCGAGTGGAAATTTGTTACGGCAAGCCCTAACTCAGGTTCGGCCTCTATAGGCCCCTATAGGGCTGTACTCCGGCGTCCGTATTACGGAATTTAGTGCATGGCCCTCATAGGGGCCATATATGGGCGGCCCTAATATGGTAATTTGAATAGGGTCCATAAAAGGCATGCCTGAATTCAGCCCTAACACGGATTGCCCTATAATAATTGAAACGGGCCATATTCGGATGCCCTATTGTACCCCTAATACGTATTGCCCATGATATGATGATACGGTCCGTATTGGAAATTCATTACTAGAGCCCTAATACGGCTTACCCACAGATTATTTAGACAAGCCCTATCTGCATTCTTTATTTGAATCCTACTAGGATTCAATATCAATAGAATCAAAATAGTTTGATTTATTAATATTTTGTAAAAAAAAGGATTATGATGTGTATTATTGATCAATGATTGTCGTTATAGTCTAAAATAAATATAGAAATAAATTACATAATTAATAATAAAGAAGTAATGAATAATAAACAATAAATGAATTATAAAAAATAACTATTAATAAATAATAACAATATGTAATCGGTAACAATATATTTCTTCGTTCTTTCCATAATCTGCATGATACCGTATTCATTATTATCAATATATTATAAATATAATATACGAATTTACGAAAGCTTTATACAACTTTGAACAAAAAATCCAATGGTAATACAAAACCAAAAAGTCTTTTTTTTTTTAATAAAATTAATAAAATCATGAAAGATAGGAAATTACATAAAATTTATTAACAATAAAAATAATTATTGAATCGATTATTATATAACAAGATATTAAAATTATAGCGAATACAATAAAATAATTTTTTAATAAAATAATACTTTTTGTGATTAGAAGTTATTAGGTATATTACTATTTTTCGATTTTGTCATGTGAGACATATAATATATATATATATATATATATATATATATATATATATATATATATATTCCTCACTGAGGAATATATATATATACATATATATCCTCACTTTCCTGTAGTTTCCTCACTGAAATTATATATATATATATATATATATATATATAATAATCATATCGAATGTAATAAGTAGAAATAATAAGATCAATTCTGCGTACGTGAACTGTTTGCATAAGATATAGGACCTTCTTAGAAAATTCGTCCAGCACACATATATCGTATTTATTCATTTTAGAGTCTAGACTATACATGAATATTAACTCATATCGAGTATCGGAAGTGTAACAATCAGAAACAGGATCGATGACCTTTTTCTTATGCGTACTTGGTCTATCTAAAGCAGTGGTCGGGGAACTTTTGGAACCGTTACCCCAAAATGTTTTTGTGCAACTTCTCATTACCCCACAAAAAAATTAACTAAAAGAGCCTATAATTGGAATCTGTTTGCAACATATTTCTGTATAACCTGCCATAACATTGTTACTTCTAAACTACGAAAAAGGCTGAAATAAATGGTTTGAAGGAAACAATAAGTAAAAACTATATTCATTATGAATAAATATATTTTCATGAAAATCCTACTAATCCGCACCATGACGAAATTTTCGAAGAATTTTAAATGTTTCTAATTAGATTATTCTAAATACTGTAACACTGTATAATATTCATAAGATATATATAAGCTGAATTACAAAATTTAAAAAAATTATTTATTCGAAGAATATAAGTGAACTTTAGAACTTTAGCCAGAATTAAAATTAAAATCTGAATTATTGTCGATATACAAAGAAAAATTTTTTGAAAAAAAAATTGAAATATTTTTCTTTGCCAGAAGTAATTGTTTTGTCAACACAAACAGCAAGTTTTTTTAATCATTCAAATCGGATGCTTAGTTCTCTCAAAAACTGCCATTTTTGTACATTTAGCTCTGTATCTTCGAAATGGCTGGACATGCCTTTGCCAAAACCTAATCACTACTTCTCCCAATCATTACAAATTGAATGTTTTTTGGATCATTCATATGGGATACTCCGTTCTCTTAAAAATTCGATATCTATTTTCTGCACTCTTTACTCCGTATCTCCGTAACGGCTGGACCTGCCTTTGTCAAATACTAGTCAGCATATCTCCTTATCCATAGGAACCGAATGTTGAATGAACCATTCAAATCGGTTCATCCGTGCGCTCGAAAATGTGAACGAAAAATGCGGACACACAAAACACACACAAACACACATTTTTTCTTAGGTATGGCGTTGCAAATTGGCGTTGCACAATTTCTTCAAAATTTCATGTCTGCTAAATATGCGAGATATGCAACTCCGGAAGAGTTTTTAAAATTTTCAGCAAGAATATTTTTTTGAGAAACCATAGAGATTTCAGCTTCATTTTTAAGAGTCCATACTCAATTTAAAATATTTCCGCGATAGAGCCACCTTACTTCTGTATAATAAAGAAGGTAAGTCTCAGCTTCACCATCCTGACATAATTCACAAAATAGCCGCGTATTTAGTGCATGTCCCTTGATAAAATTTATAATCTTGATAACATGATGAGTGTGGGTTATTTTCCCTTACAAAAGCTGAAAAACCATAAATATGACCCATCATAGATGGAGCTTAATCCAAAGACACCAAACTGCAATTTCCCCATTTTAATCTTTGCGCTTTGAAGTATTCGTTTACTTTATTATAAATATCAATTTCATGACATCTGAACTCGAGAAGAAAACAAAACAGCAATTTCTTTTCAAAATTATCTGCACCTTTATAGCAAACATATACCAGTTGTGAATTATAGCAAAATATTTAGTTTGTTTTAATGCAAAAACTTCACATTTTTTGCTAATGCAGAGATTCATTTCGGTAGTAAGTTTTACTGAAGCTGATTTAAACCAAGCAAGATATTTAACTTGTTTTAGTGCGAAAACTACTTATTCCTTCACATTTTCTGCTAATGCAGAAATTCTTTCCGATAGTAGGTTTTACTGAAGCTGATTTAGTGTTTTGCAAATATATACTTTTTACCCCCAAAAATTTCACTTTTACCCCATTTGGGGTAATTCACCCCGGTTCCCCGACCACTGATCTAAAGCATAGGACCTTGACATAGGACAAGTAGAAAAACTGAAATAAATTTACATAATTTTACTTCAATAATAAATATCAAAAGTTTTACATTTCATTTTAACATATTCTAAATACTGCTAAACATTAACATCGAATGAAATAGAGTGGGCAAGAGTAAGAAAGATCGGCGCTATGTCACACGTTAACTTTATAGATGCCGCCGTTAAGCAGATTGTGAACAAGAACAATATACATTTATGATTGCTCATATAATACGAATAGGCAACAAACATTTTGTCAAATATTATTTCGAACAATTTTTTTATGTGGACAGAAATACTGATATTAGTTCAAATAGATCTAATATTGAAGTTCTACGTAAAAAAATTAATAGTACATTAATTTTTTTATTCGACGACCCATAAAAATTTATATATATATATATATATATATATATATATATATATATATATATATATATATATATATATATTATATGTCTCACATGACAAAATCGAAAAATAGTAATATACCTAATAACTTCTAATCACAAAAAGTATTATTTTTATTAAAAAATTATTTTATTGTATTCGCTATAATTTTAATATCTTGTTATATAATCGATTCAATAATTATTTTTATTGTTAATAGATTTTATGTAATTTCCTATCTTTCATGATTTTATTAATTTTATTAAAAAAAACACTTTTTGGTTTTGTATTACCATTAGATATTTTGTTCAAAGTTGTATAAAGCTTTCGTAAATTCGTATATTATATTTATAATATATTGATAATAATGAATACGGTATCATGCAGATTATGGAAAAAACGAATCATCCGAACGAAATTTCTAAAAATAAGAAAAGGTTCTATATGTCGTATACGCAGTTCACGTATATATATATATATATATATATATATATATATATATATATTAATTTTTTATAATTTAGATGTTGAAATATGTGATATTCAGTTTTCAGGGCAATACATCAATTAAAAAATATTTTTTAATTGATGTATTGCCCTGAAAACTGAATATCATATATATATATATATATATATATATATATATATATATATATATATACAGGGCCGGTCCTGGGGTCCTTGGCGCCCGCATGCATTTTTTTTTCTAGCGCCCCCCCCCCCCCTATTAATCTTCACCGTTTTAACAGTTTATCATTAAAATTATATGAATATTTATAATTTTTTTAAAAACTAATTTTTAATTAATCTGGATTTAGTACACAAAAAAATAGACATAATCTAGAAGGGTATAAAATATATTGATTTTAAATTTATTTATTATTATCGATATCAATAAATAAAACAATCCCTGTCATAATTTTACATTTTAGTAATATTCAATATGTAGTAAATTGGTTGAGGATGTAAGTTCGACTACCATAGCAGAAGAATTAATATTTTTGTTAGATTTAAGTTATAGAATTTAAGAAATGTATTTCAGAAATAGTGTTTATTATTTTGATATCAAGATCTTTATATCAAAATAATAAATACTATTTCTGAAATGCATTTCTTAAATTCTATAATTTTAATTTAACAAAAATATTAAGTGAAATAAATAAATAAATTTTTAATTATTCTGAATTTAGTGCAAAATAATTAGATATAATCTAAAAGCGTAAGAAATATATTGATTTTAAATTTATTTAGACAATCGAAGCGATTCTGGGGTTGATTATAATCAAGTATTTTGAAATTTTCAATTATTTTTAACGTATGTGCAATATTAATATTTAAAAAAACTAGCATTTAATTTTCAAACATAACACTCGTATTTCATGTTGTATTTTTTAAATTTTAATTTAATTTAATTTTTCATCATTTACAATATCCAAAATTGCGTTGTAAACTTCTCCTTATTGATATCGTAAGAGCCGTCATATCCAGAGTATCAGCTTGTTGTTTTAAAGTAAAATTTTTAACGTATTTTAGAAGTATTGTTCAAAAATCAGTAAATAATGCAAAGAAATTACACATTTCTTGAACAATATTGAAAAAAAAAACTTATTATATTTGATATGTATTATTTCTGTATAGTTAATAATTATTAGATTTAGAGTATGGACACCACTAGGTATAAAACTAGCCTTAAGATTTTCGTTCCAAAGTAAATTTTGCTTCCATTTTTCATATTTGTTCCACGCATGTCTTCAACATTCAAAGTTCAACAGATGCGAAACATTTGCAACAAAAGCAAAAGTTACGATTCAATTTGTCGAAATAAAGAAGTCATTTTCTAAGCACTGACTCACCATTTTTTATAATTTGCTTATATTTTCTAACAAGTCCCGATTCAACTAAATCAGCTCGCAATTTTCCGTCAATAATGCCCCACAATTAATTTAATCTTTCGCAGGTTTGCGCCTATGGGATTAAACACTAGATAATTTCTTTCTCGATTCCACGGTAACTTCAAACAAAGAAAAAATTGAATGAGTAGATTAAGCAATAAACAGAGCTGTTATTTACTAATTTGCAGAATTATTAATCAGTTAATTGTTTCTACTGATCTCACATTTGCAAAATAAATATGCTTTTTGTTTCTCCGTATCCCTGGTTAAGTTAGATTGTTTATTATAATTTATTAAGTATTCTAGATTTTAAATAAATAATTTTTAGATTTTATATAAAAAAATATAAATATTATATTATAAATTTCATTTCCGAAACTCGTTTTGGCGCCCCCTAAGGCTTGCGCCCGCATTTTTCGCATGCATCGCATGCAAGGCAGGACCGGCCCTGTATATATATATATAAGTATATATTGAATGCAGAGAAAGAGATCATCATCGCGCCGTTGCATATGATATTATATAAACCATTGATTGATAATATGGAATACGATCGAGGCACCAATACATGTATGTAAGAACTTCATCTTCTATCAAAGAGGACCATTGTTAGTTTTTTAGTTAATTACTGAATGCCAAGCTAAGCGGTCGTTATGTGTTTAATAGGAAGTGCGAAAATTACGAAATATTATTACGATATATTTTTATTTGTTTTAAAAGAACAGTCGTGTAATTATCGTTTAATAATCAGTGGAAAAGTAGTGTATTGTGTTGTTTTATTTCCCAATGATACAAGTGAAAATAGAGTATCGATGTAGTGCCGGTGGATTGGTTGATATATAATGAAGGATAAGATAAATTCGAATGCTCATTTTTAAATAATTATGAGCTATCGGGAGAAAATTTACTTCTTCTTCAAGATTTGGTGAAGCGTCGGGCGGCACCAGCATCGGTTAATTGGAGTCTTCATGAGGTGGATGTACGAGATTACGCGAGTAAGTATTAT